TGACATTTTCTGAGCATGTCCATACTCCTAAGGGAATGAATCATTGTGATTATCTAATCACCTTTCCTGTTTCATTTGTTGAGCATTTCCACATTGTGTGCTGTATCAAACGTCACTCTGTCTACAGACTGCTGGTCTGGCTTTGAGCTTTCGTCTGTGTTGCAGCCCTGTCTCTTAGAAATAACATTTCTGTAGTAATCATAGAAAGTGTTGAAAGAATGTAATGCTATTTAGAGAACACCTTTTAGTAATACAATGAGGGACCTCTGTTAATTGACACTGATATATACTTTTTTTTAGCGAACAAAGCGTGATTATTGTTTTATGGTTATGTTAAGGCCCTCGCAGCACTTGGAAAAAGGGGCTAAATTCGATATTCAGAGCAGAGGGATTGCCTCCATACGGCTCTCAACATGGCGACGACTGAGCCGGCGACTCACAGCTAACGGTGCCAACGGTGCCAACGGTGCCAACGGTGCAAACGGCGACAACAGAGCTGCAACAACACACACAGAGGGAGACTGACATACCAATAATATCAATGATCTAACAATCGCATAGAGAACCTTTAAGGTTAAGAAAAGACAGAACGTGATTACTTTTATTAACGTCTAACTAAAACACAATCTCTTCAGAAGGGCAACCAGAGTGCTTTTGTTGCATTATTAATACACCTGTTTGTGTAATTCATAAAGAGAAAACGAGTCAAGTAAACAAATTAAAAAGGGAGGGGGGAAAATAAACTTTTCAAAAATAAGTTTCCATAAATAATTGTGGGACCATGTTCTGCACCTGCGCCACTTTTCTGCCAGCCAGTTCGATTAATGTCAGAAAGAGTCCAGGACGATAATCTGGTTTGAATGCCAGTTAATGTGCTGAAGGTGGACGTCCTCTCCTCCCCTCTCCCTCACAAATGACCATCTGTGGTCTGGGCCAGCTGCCAGAGCAGACAAGAGAGAGGGCAGGTCGACTGCAGCCTGTCAACTAAACCCGTCATGGTCAGAGATTCAAAACAGATTCCAGCCTTTGAACAACCGCATGCTTCATCTCTCATCCGTCTACTGTACGTGTCAGAGCGTCTGTTCAAAATAGAAAGTCATAAATGTTTAAAAATAAATGATCCTGATGTCTGCTGATCACTTGACAATAGGTTTCTTTGTTTATGGGAGGTTTTCTTCTTCTTGTATTGAGAGGACTAAATGAGGAGATTTTATAGCTCTGAGTCTGGCAGGAAGTTTTGTTATCATCGCTCTCCGAAGACAGAAACTGATTGTGTAGCCTGACAAAAGGCTTTGACTTCATTGTAGACACAACAATGTCTTTGATACGACTTCCCCCTGGAGATTATCTTATCCTTTCTGGGTCTGCTCTCCTTTTATAACGGGCTTATTTTGTCTTATCTTTAAGTGCACCTAAGGTTGCAGTGCCTTTGAATACAATCCACCCTCTTTTTGGGATGAGCTGTGTTTTGGGGGGGGTGACCAGCTGAACAAAGGTGTTTATTTCTGGAGAGGGATCACCTACAGCTTGGAGCTCTCTGAAGCTTGATTATCATCGCTGACATACTAATTAAGATGGAAGAATATGTTCATGTGTGTACACGCGTGTGAACCAGACTCAATTAGCTTCATAAATCAAAGCTAAATATCCCTTTTAACTGCAATGTTCATGGTGTGTTTTATGTTTTTCTGCATATTTGTGGGAACACAGACGGTGTTGTTATTTTAAGCGTTTTCCTCTTTCTGTGTGGGAATCCTTTATTACGCATTCTTCATTTTTAAACTCGCTTTTTGACATTATCACATGAACTGTATATTTATATATGTGCTTCCACAACTACACTGAAGTTTTTTTTAATGCTTTTATTTGCTGAAACATTTTTAAGGAACAGTTTGGGACCAATTGTGTGCTGGAGCATCTCTTTGACCGGGACTTTTTAGGCTTGTTAAATCCCCCTTCCTCCAGTCCTTAAGCTAATCACTTACTGCCTCTGGCTCCATAGTTAGCAAGCAGCCTATAGGGATACCGACCTTCTCTTAATTGTTCTCAATTTTTAGCTTTTCTTGGATATATGTGATAGCAATTTGAACATCTTTGGGTTGTGGACTGTTAGTCAGACGAAACAAGTAATTTGAAACAAGTAATTTAAAACAAATGATTTGAAACAAGTAGTAACCTGAGATCCTATTTTACCTGTAATACACATGAAATAATATGAAATTTGCATCATCGTAGTGAATCCACACTTACCACAGTCTCCTCTCCTCAGGGTCTGCAGCAGATATTTACTATAGTGCACACACAGAGCACATTCCCCTCTCTTGTGCAAATCACACACTCAGCATGTGAAATTGTTGTCTCAGGGTCAAACGCACACTCTTCAGGGATAAGAATATTGTTTGCTGAAGGAAGCTCATAAAACTAGAGAGGCCCTGCTTTCCCTGTGTGTCGCTGTCAGAGCTGCTGTTCAGCTTTTTTCTGTCATACTGATTTAGAACTGTTATCAAATGTGCATGGACTCCAATATCTGCCCTCCCATCATCAGAGAGGATCGATCCGAGGCCTCGGAGTGCCAGCCGCTCTGATTGATGCACCGTGGGGATAAATGCTGCTCAAGTTACTAATGAGATTTGATTGAGATTCCTGTGAGCAAACAGACTCCAGCTGACAGACGGGATGAAGGAAGAGTTTGTGAAACATTCGGTCTGATACAAATTAGTCTCCGAGTTTGCCTGTCTGAATCCTAATTCTCACTGTAGGTAGGTCCTTGGAGGGGGGGATGGGATGCTGCGAGTGAGTCAGCGTTGTCCTTCCAACGCTAATGGCCAGGAAATGTCTATGTTGGAGAGACTAATTGGATTTCTTTAACAGGAAAGCATCCTTCCAGTTCCATTAGCTGGTGGTAAACGGCAACACACAGCAGAGGGAGATGCAGGTGGGAGAGAAAAGGGGGTTTGAGATGTAAATGGAGGGATGGAGAGCCGGGGGAAAGAAGGGGAAGGCATGTTTATTGTTGATGCAGATCAAGAAGCAGTCGGGTTTAGTTTGGGGGGGGGGGAAGCTGTAAATGTTTGTTATCCGTGCAGATGATGATGGAATGAAATGCCAGGAGGGAAGCAGTGTCTGCTGGGTAATAAGATCATCAGCAGGCATCCCTGGTGTTATGGTAATGCACTTAACTGCAAGACTATGCACATAATAATTTTTCGTAGATGAAGTATCTTCAGATGCAGTATAATAGCGCCCTATTTTGTCTGAAAAATGAAACAAATGAAATGTAAAACAATTAACCTTTTTCAGCAACGCTATGCTCCAGTTGTTTTTAGTTCACTGCAAAATATTATTTTGACAAAAAGTAAAAACCTATAAGATGTAACTTAACAGTGGCCACTGTTGACCATCATGTAACAATAGTAAGTGCTAAAACATAGTGAAACACTGAGAACACTGAAAAGCATCTTAAAGTACATTATACAACCAGATGCACCTAAAGTTTTGCTAACATTAGCCACCTCAAGCTACTGGACAAACCCAGTAAGGCTGTAGCATCTAAAGAAGTGTGTCCAATTATACATTCAACGTTTCATGTGTAAGAGGAAGAAAGTGCTCTTTCTTCTTTCAAAGTCTCGCTTTAACTCTCTGGCTTCTCCCATCTGTTTACCAAATCTCACAGTCATGTTCAGTCGATTAGCTGAGATTAAGTGTGGAACATGACAACTAAGCAAATTCGATTTGCTGAGGAAAACCATAAGACACCGTAGAAAGTATAGTCCTGTGTTTCTCAAATGTATTATAAAGTAATATACAATGTAAAAACATGAGACTAAATGGAGTACTGTGTGTGTTATTGTGTATTGTGCTTCTTGTGATTCAAATGAATGAGTGAAAGAAGGTCAATGCAGGACACAGATGAACCACATTTACATTTATTCTGAGCAGCTCTCGACATAAACTACGAGAAAAGCTACATTCAGCAACACAATGAGCAGTCAGTCAGGAAAGCCTAAATCAAACCTGGCAGCCTCGTCACCTCCAGGCTACGGCTCTCGTTGGGCATCTGGTATGTCTACTTGACACACTGCGATGTAAAGTGTAATTGGGGGTCCCTCCTATAGACTAGTAGGATGGCTAGAGACCCTCGAAGGGGAAAACCACCTCGTTCATTAGAGACGGCACATGGAGGAACAGTGGGGCTACTATGCTGCCTGTAAATTGAGCCTTTCTTCCTGTGAGAGGGTGACTTGGTGGAATGCAGCACATTAATGTGGACATGGGTGGGCTTCTCATTCCTGTCATAGCATCTCGCTCTTCCCTTTGACCCTCCATGACTTTCTCCTCTCTCTTTTTTTTTTTTTTGCTTCCATGCGTCCTTTTTGAGTTTGTGTCAACTGGGTGTGCGTGCCAAGGTTTCTATCTTCACCGTACAACTGGTGCTTGTGTGATGATCGTCAGTCACAGCTATTAACCTCGAGGTTCAGTCGCATCACAATCCGTCCTTTTCAGGTTCAGTTCAATGAAGGTTTATTGGCTTTAAAGAATCCTTATCAGAAGTATTAGTTTTTACTGTAACCGTCCTCAAATAAGTAACACATCACCCTTCCTACATTGTATTCCTTCGTTAGAGCTTTGACCGGCACTCTTTTAATCATGAAATCTCGCTGGGTTTCGGAAATTTTCACGGGAACTTGAGTTGCCTGCTTAGCTATAAATCACACAAACATGGACATCACGCTTCCCACTCAGTGGCTTGAAGGAGCAGTTTTGTTAAATCACCAAAGATCTTTGTTTAAGAAATATAAAGAACATATTTCAAACTCACTTCAACATCATTTTTGACTGAAAAAGGAAATAACAAATTTTAGTGTGACAACTACTCAGAATGAGAAAAAGAAAGGGGAACAATTGCACACATTCTCTTTGTTTTGGGGCAAACATGAGGTTGATGGTGATAAACGACCAAAATATTTTGAACAGACATGTGTTGTCTTTCTCTTTTTCAGTCACTGCTCATGTGGAGGTGAACATGGAGGACAGAGTGGAGGTGTTCAGGGGAGAAACGGCTTCGATCACCTGCATCTTCACATCATCTGAAGGCGCCGACGGCATCATGATACAGTGGTTCTACGTGAGTTTCATCAATCCTGATGCACGCATACACAGAGAGGACGATGTGTCCGTGCGTGTGATAGTTCATGTGTTTGTACTCTGACCTTTTAGGTGACGCAGACCGGTGAGAAGCAGAGAATCTTCTACCAGGACCCCACCGGGACGGTTGTAGACGAAGGCACACCGTTCACAGACCGGATCAGCGTGAATGGTACCGTAGCCACCGGAGCGATCGTGGTGACGATCAGCAACGTGCAGCTGGCCGACAAAGTTGAATTTATCTGTCTCATCAATGATCTTACTGGAGGGACTGGGGAGGGACGCACAAAGCTGAATGTGTTCGGTAAGATTCAAGCTGAGCTGTTTTTTTTTTTTTTTTTTTTAATGTTTTGAATAACAAAGTAAAACATCCAAAGTCCACAAACACACAGAATAGGTGACTTCTGAAAGGATGGGTGTCATACAATAAGTCACGGTTAGAGATCTCGCTTCAGCTGCTTGTGTGCCCCTTTTGAACCTTTTCCTCTTTTTACTCATTCACAACTTCACCTAGAAACTTTATTTAGACTTTAAACCAGTTCCCGCCCCTTGCACTATATTGTATAAGTAGAGTTTTTTTATACTTGCAATCACAGTTAATATAATGCCCATTTCAGACCTTTCAGACGGTAAAACTACTTCAAACTCTTTTTACTCCCACAATTTCAACACTTAATAATTTATGCATCACAATGTTCACAAACTCATCCTCTTTCACACAACGTCCCCTTTTATGACATTTTAATGAGAGTCACATTCTCAGTGAATACATTCAACAAACAGCTCAATATTTTTCAGCATTTTCACTTCAACTGAAACTCCAGGTCATCGCGGGGATTACCCTTCAATTGGCACCAACTCCTTTCGATGCTTACAATAACATCTTACACATGCAACGTATTAAGACACTGAAACTGTTTCCGTCTACCAATATTTAGCTGCCAGAGCACAGACACTTTTCTTTTTAGCCTTTTCTAGATCTTAATTCAGTGCTTAATTTCTACGCAGTACGGCCCGACTTTCCCACCATCGAGGGTGTGCAAACAGGGATCTCACTTAACGAAGGCCCATCCAAGGTAAACAAGCTTTGAATCATGAAAATCTGAGTGGAAAATTATGAAATGGCTATCAAGCTACAATTGGTTTCTTTGGATTTGGACTACTCTCATTCTCTTTCCTCTCCTACAGATTGGGACGTGTGAGGTCAAAAATGGCTTCCCCTGGCCGAACATCACCTGGTACAGAAACAACGCGCCGCTACGTGGTGCTCTGGATGGTGAGACGGATTGACATCAACATCTACAGTACACTTGTACACTCTACACGGCCTTGTTCTCCATTTCCTTCCCTGTCCTTCCTTGTTTTCTAGTGTTGAAAGTGGTAACCAGCACCACCGTTGAATCCAGCGGTCTGCTGTCTGTCAAGAGTGAGCTGATCATGAAGGTGATGAAGGAGGACAAAGATGATCTGTTCTACTGCGAGGTCAACTACTTTGTTCCCGGAGGATTAAGGATGACCGAGACCCCCCATATTAACATCACCGTATACTGTGAGTTTCTCACATAGTACAACACCACTATCATGGTGTACTATGAGACCACATATAGCCCCATATACGATATACTATGTAATCGATCTATGTGAAACCAGAGCATTACGCCCATAAGTGATACATGTGCATTAATATGCTGCTATGAAAGACACCACATCTCTTTTAAGGCTTTCTACAAAGATCGCCTGCAGCGTTTTGCCTTGTTTGCTGCAGGGGCAGTTGTGGGAATCACAAAAAGCTTCCACAACTTCAAGTTCAGGTTTGTGGTCTGATCTCGCATTCCTCTCTCTGTTTCAGACCCGTCCACAGCTGTAAGTGTTTGGGTGGAGTCACCAAAGGGCAACATCAAGGAAGGGGACTCGATTGAGCTTCAATGTCGTAACAACGGGAATAAGCCTTCCTCGATCTTCACAATCTCCCACGAAGCAGTAAGAAAATCAACACTTTTGAGCTCATTGTTGGAAGCATAGTTGCTACTTCCTGCTTTGTCTTCTTCACCAGATAGTTGTTGACGACCAAATTTCCATGTGTTGATCAGATTACTTTGGCTTCTTGTAGGGTGGAAATACTGTAGAAAGCAATGTGTTGGTATTGGATAATGTGACCCGTCTAAACAGTGGAGTTTACCAATGTGCCTCTATGGACATGGACACCTATGAGGAGATCTCAGGAAACACCACTGTGTTCGTCAACTGTAAGGAATCTGCACTGATACGATATGTGACCATAATAAATACAGTCTACCAGCAGTACGACTGCACTTGCCTGGTTTGATATTTCTTCTCTCTCTCTCCCCGCTGTGTGTGTGTGTGTGTGTGTGTGTGTGTGTGTGTGTGTGTGTGTG